TCTGTCCCTCTCCCACTTGTTCTTCCTCGTAGATCCCGCGCACAAGCGGCTAGCCACCCACTTCAAGTGACTATCCCCAGGTGTTGCATTTCTAACTTGCAATCATCTTTTTCCCCAAGAACAGCACAACTGTGGAACACTCTCCCCCTTTCGGTCTTCCCTCCAACGTACAAAATCCATTTTTTTAAACGCAGAATGAATAAGCCGGTTCTAGCTTGAATGTTCCCTATACCTTCCCACTTACAGTATATCTTCGGATCGTGGGGTTTACCGCTTTTATTGTATTCACTTCCGTGTAATAAAAAAAGAACAAAAAGAGGATAGAGGAAATATGAGACGGGTGTAATCATGTGACAATCAGTTATCCGGATCTTGATTTCAATGTAGGGGAGTGTAAGTGGAAGTCAGTATTGTCATGAGGGAAAAAATCATCCTATGAATCGGCCCATTTCCATGAGAAATCTGAGTCTGAATTTGTGGAATGTGCTGGAATGCATGAGCATTTATGTGGGTCCCAGATCTACTCAATCTCCCTAGTCACATTTGCCGCTGGAATGCTCCAATATTGGTTACGGAGCACACTTTCTAGAAATTTCAAAGCCAATTCATGTATATATAATGATCACGTTTTCCCTTGAAGTGGAATGTAGATTTACGCCCCTGAATACAACTTTTGCACTGATCTCATTTGCTTCCGATTTGACAGGATTTGAAGCTTGACCTTTAAAAACGTCATTTCGCGAGACTGGAGCATTGAGAAGCTGTCAATGTATGGGAATCACATGATTCGGGAACTGACGGAGTGCTGATCTGTGGTGCGTGGTAGGGAAGCTGTTTCATCGATAATACGCATCAAATGATGCTAATTAAATCGGTCATACCATATTCTTGGTTTCTCAATTTATGATTCTGCTAAATGTTTCAACCCAACGGAAATAACCACAACTCACACGGCTAAACAGATAACCGCAAGATACAGCCTTATTATCAACTTAGTTGACTAAATGCCTACCTACATTCTTCCATTTCCTCATCTTTCACACCTTTCCCTCTTCTAAAAAGATGCAAAATTTTCTTGCCGGCCCTTCGGAATCGCGTTGGTTTGATAAACCTATTTCGTTGATTATCGATCGCCGTGGACGAGCCGCGGTTAATTTCGAACACAGTTGGGGCGACGGGGTTGCCGTCGTACGACTCTGCAATGAGGTTTTTTCCAACGCCGAGACGGATCCGGCTGTTGGTCCGTCTGATTTGCCTCAAGCATTGAGGTGAGCCACTCGTATTTTCCTGTTTCGTCTCTGTGAGAATCAATCTTGTCATTACCAGAAGTTTTAGTTTCAGTTTGTACAACCATTAACCATGCACTATCGTGCGCCAGTTTTGGTAGCTGTATTTTAGCCGCCCATTCGGATAAACATTAAGAGAAAGATTAGAAAGGTTGAAGATAGGATCCAAGGGAAAAGTTAGAATTTCAGTGGAAAGCAATTTAGTATTGAATATAATGCGGAAGGGTTGTAACTCAGGATGCTGATGTTTGCGTTCGTGTATGCTCCAAACTGGAAGTGTTGTTCACAGACCTTTCGTAGCCATTCTAGGCAACACTTATGATGTCAACTAGCCTGCCTACGAAACTTCTACTAACAACACTTCCAGCTCGGAGAGCACTCCAAGGCCAACAGCAGTTTAGTGTTTTTTCCTGTTATTTGGTATCATGTGAGTGGAGCAGGGCCATTGACATTAGTGCTTCCTTGCCGATTGTCTGTTTTGGGGCCTATGAGATATAAGAGCGATATGCAACGAAAAAGCTAGAACGACTTTTGATGGCCACATTCAGAAACTGACTGCTTCAGCGCTTGTTAGTAGTGAGTTTGGATGTAGTCCACCTTTGGCACGTACAAATGTGCTTTTGTAAATGAACTTTATTTCTCACCAGTGGCCACTGCCACCCAACTTAGTAGGAAGCTTTTCTGTCGTTCGGTTCAGTATCATGCCTAGCTTTGTAGAGCCTGATATGGTTCGCCACTCCAAGCCCCGGGACTTAGGTTACTGGTTTACGTCACTGAATAGCAGGTCTTCCTGAGTCTAGGGTTCACCCTGTCTGCTGTTCATCACACAACGGTGTGTGATAGAAAACTTCTTGTCGATAAATCGTCCGTGAAAACTGTCAGAAATTTTAATTGAAGCAAGATACTCGCAGGACACAACCACATCTATTTGATTTCTCAGATGTTTACCAAATACCAATCCGTGTTAAGCACCCAGCCTAGACTCAGGCTCATTAGTCACCTCTGCTCAGTATTGGTTACCACACACATTTTCTAGATCACTGAGGACTAATTCGTGTAGATATAATGAGCATGTTTGCTCTTGAAGTGGAGTGCAAATATACACCCTTGAATACAACTTTCGCACTGGCTTCTGATTTGGGAGGTTGGCTGTGAGATAGTTAGGACTGGATGTTGAAAGTTGATTTGGTGAGACAACAGAGTAAACAAGAAATATTGGCAAATTTTCGGTGATACTGTTTGGGGAAAAAGAATGAGGCACTCTGGATCATTTAGTACGATGCTTGTCAACACTGTACCCTTCTTTTTATTTGCTGTTTGATAGAGTGGCTGTAAGACTGGCGGGCGCAATGATAATGTAGTAGGATTAGAGCTAGTCAGTCGTATGGTGCGCTGCTCGTTGCTTGTAGAGCTGATGTACATGAGGTCACTATCCAGGTGTTTCATTCTATCAACTACTGTTCCAGGTTAGTTGCAAACCTTTCTGGATGGTTTGTGTGTGATTGTAACCATACGCGGCATGCGTTTTGTACCTCGAAAGTTCAAAATGTTGCTACAGGACTGCGTTGGTCCAGCCACCAACGTCACGGTATTACGTGGCACGAAATGAGAGCTCACTGAGTCAAATCTAGACAAATTCAACTCTTCAGTTATCTTGTTTTGTGTTTACCTGTTTTAACGTACTGGCGACAGTAATTACGTCGGAAGAACTAAGAAACGATTTTCTACCAGGATATCAGAACATGCGCCGAAGAATCTACCGTCTAGCGGATCCAAGCCTCCGTCCAGGTCAACCAAGCCTTGTATACTGGTTTACAAGGAATGTGATAGACCTAGAAACGCTTTTGTTGTTTTACTTCGACAGAAGGTTAGTCGCTCATGACGGTTCACTTAAGCAGCTGCCATGAAAATGTTTAAAGAAACTGATTGCATGAAATTGATATTTTTCTCCAGCCAGTGGTCTAGGTGCATGTATTTTTTGTTTTCATTCTGTTGAGATATTAAGGAATGGAAATCCGATGTATTTGTTTCATGTGTAGTGTTTATTTCCGAAATCACTTCTTTGGAATGACTATGAAACTGTTTGCTTCTCGATGCTGCATCTCCTCACTCGTATCCAAAATGGGTTGACGGAGAGGAAAGTCATCAGATGCTTTTACTTCTAATCGTTTTCCTCGTCCTGCCCACCCCACCCCCACATTGTGTTTGGCGTCAAACCTACTGTGGACTATCCCAATGTAATCTTAGTCGCAAAACATCTACCCATTCTACTATATTTTTCTACAATACTGGTGCGTATGTAGAGACATGCCTGATTAGGTCTTTCACACAATACAGGAATGCGATGGTTCTTTCTATGGTTTTTACTGTCCTTCCTTGGTTCATTTGTTTATCAGTTTATCCACTTCGTCCGTTCGTCGTCTGGAATGGCTTATTGACGATCGGACCACAAATGACTTCCTTATGCCCGCCCGAATCGCATATGATCGACGTCGCGAGTCGTTGGTTTTCGGTCATACACAGATTACCGATGGCCTTTGCCGACGGCTTTGCAAAAAGGCTGGTCTAAGTGCGGATGCAATGATGCAACTTGGATTTCAGGTTGGTTTCTTCCCCCCCCCCCTCGGGTTATTTGGTTTAA